TTCATTTATTACAGGAAAATTTAAATCACTTTTGTTCTATTAAGTGTTCAAAGTTCATTAGTTAAGTTTGAGCTTTGATGTTTGAAGTGATTAGAGCTTCAAATAAAATTTTAATACTCGTGTTCGACGTGTTTGAAATTATGTGTTAATCTTAGACAAGAAAAATTATTCTAGGAACCGGTAAAAGGAAGAACCGAACCGTTTACTACCGGTTCGGTTCCATAACGGTTCTTGATTTTTTTATATAGGAACCGAACCGATTTCATTAGTTAAAACTTTTATAACGGTTCCACTCATTTTGACTAAGAACCGAACCGGTCCCAGCCCTAGGACTAATTATTAGCATGTCATCCACATAGAGTAACAAAAATACAGGCACAGAAGAAGTATTCTTGAAATACAGGCAATGATCACAAACAGATTTTTGGAACTTCAAAGATATCATGCATTTATCAAATTTGATGTTCCACTGCCTAGGGGATTGCTTCAGGCCATACAAAGCCTTCCTAAGCAAACAGACATGCTCACTTCTCTTGGGACCCACAAAGCCCTCAGGCTGGGTCATATAAATTGTTTTGTCCAATTCACCATGCAAAAAAGCAGTAGTTACATCCATTTGTTTCATTTCCCAGTCATGATGAGCAACTAAGGCAAGCATCATACGAATAGTGGTGAATTTAACAACAGGAGCAAAGATTTCTGCATAATCTACCCCCTCTTTTTTAGTAAACCCCTTCACAACCAAGCTAGCCTTAAACCTAACATCACTAGGTTCTTCCTTAAACAACCACTTACACTCAACTACCGAACAGTTGGGGGGTCTAGGTCCAAGGGTCCAAGTCTGGTTCACTCGCAAAGAGTCCATCTCACTTTTCATGGCACTAATCCATTTCTGAGACTCTTTGGAACCTAAGGCTTCACGGTAGGTCTTGGGTTCATTCAGCTCTAGGGATTCAAACACAGAAAATGCAACCATAGAAGTATCATGCACAATGAAAGCATAATCAGGCATACTATCAGCAGTTCTCCTGATGGCCCTTCTACTCCTATCTCTAGCAAGTTGATAATCATGCAAATTATCACTACTAGGCTCCACATGCAAATTATTGTTATCATGAAAATCAGATTCAACACCCATATCATGCAAATCATGCTCAGTATCATGCAAATGCTCCACCTCACTCGAGGTGGTGTGACTATCATGCTCAGAGGAATCAGAATCATGCATAACAATATGATCAGTAATAACAGGATCAACAGATAAAGGACTAACAGCAACAGGGACAGACTCCACCTCACTAGGAGTACTATCAGACCTAGACTCAGGATTAGAAACAGACTCGGTCAAGCAAGGAAAATCAGTTTCATTAAACACCACATTTCTGCTAAGGACCACCTTAAAGCCTACCTGGTTCCTATCCCATAACCTGTAACCCTTTACCACCTCTGGATAACCTAGGAAGACACATTTCTTAGACCTAGGATCCAACTTGTCAACCTGTTGATGTGCATACGTTGCACAACCAAACACCCGAATGTTAGACAAATCAAGAGGCTTACCGGTAAAGACAGCTTCAGGGCACTTACCACCAAGAGGGACATACGGGGACCTATTGACCAAATAAGCAGCAGTAATAATTGCTTCACCCCAGAATTTCTTAGACAAACCAGAGGTAGCTAACATGCTTTTAACCTTATCCAACAGAGACCTATTCATTCTCTCTGCTATCCCATTCTGTTGGGGAGTATAAGGCACAGTTTTGTGCCTTCTTATCCCACAATCCACACACAGCTTATCCATCTCCTTATTACAGAACTCTAACTCGTTATCGGTCCTAAGGGTTTTAACCTTCCTGCCACTTTGATTTTCAACTAGGGTTTTCCACTACCTAAACTTCACAAACACATCAGACTTGTGTTCTAAAAGGCAAACCCACACCTTCCTAGAAAAGTCATCAATAATAGAAAGGAAATATTTCCTACCCCCGTGGGTAGGAACACTGGCAGGACCCCAAACATCGGCATGAACATATTCAAGCACAGATGAACACTTAGACAGATTAGGGTAAGATGAAGGAGGGAAGCTGACTCTATGCTGCTTGCCTAACACACATGACTCACAGAAAGGCTCAGAAGTCACAGAGTCCTTACCAAAATAACCAGCCCTATGCATGACATCTAAACCCTTATTGCTCATATGTCCTAGCCTATTATGCCACAAAGAGGTCTTATCAGAACATACAACATTCACAGAATCAGCAAAAGGTTTAGCATGGCACACATAAAGGTTATTCACCTTCTCAGCTTTAAACAAAACAAGAGAATGTTTCAAGATTTTCATGCAACCATTCCCCCACTTTCCCTGTAAACCACTACTCTCCAAAGCAGCAACAGATAACAAGTTATGACACAAATCAGGGACATGCCTCACATTCTTAATGGTAAACAAAGAGCCACAAGAAAACCTTAGACATATATCACCAACACCAAGCACATTGCATCTCTTATTATCAGCTAAGAAAACATAGCCACTATCACATAATTCATACGTAGAAAACAAATCTCTAAAGGGGGACATGTGATAGGTACAACCAGAGTCAATCAACCATTCATGCTCAGACAGGGAATTTCTCACAGAATTAGCATGGTCACAAACCATCAAAATGTCACCAAAGTCACATTTATCAACAGCTACACTAACATGCCCGGTCTTCTTAGGGTTAGGGCAATCCTTAATGAAATGGCCAGTGTTACCACAATTGTAACACACTTTCTTCCTAGATTTGCTCCTCTTCCTCCCAGGCTGACTAGTGTTCTTACTTTGACTATTTTGCTTAGAGTTCTTAGACCTACCCTTAGATCTACCTCTAACAAACATAGCCTCACCGGAGTCCCTGGACTGACTAGCACTACCCCTAGCATGCTTCAGGTCTAATTCCTTACTCCTTAACCCATTCACAACAATGTCAAACGAAATCTCATCCCTACCATACTTAATAGCGGACTTAACATCATTATAAGAGTCGGGAATGGCATTAAGTAACACATCCAGGTTCTCATCTATATCCTTAGTCAGGTCAAGCCTAAACCTAAAGAATTTTTCTAGTAAAAACAACTTCCCGGGTAAAGAGGTATCAGTATAGAGACTATCCAATTTCTCCCACAACTCCTTAGCGGACTCAAGAATACCCACTTTCCTAAGCACAGAATCAGACAGATTCAAGTAAATAGTAGAACAAGCAGTTTCGTTCATTTCAATTTGCTTAGCCTTATCTCCTGATTCAAGGAAAATACTAGTGACAGCTCTGAAAACCTTTTGTTGTATTAAAACACACTTAATTTTCTGTTTCCAAATATCAAAATCTGTTTTTCCATTAAATGGAAGCATACCATAGTGATTATCAGCCATGGTATCAACCACAAAGGAACACAAAGCTAAACAGACAGAATTGACAGAAAATAATCCAACCCGGGCTATAAAGTATTCACTTTAATCACCCGGGCAGCATGCAACACATAGCAAAAATGGACATTTTTGGCAATTAAACAATTCTGGGCAGCAATTTAAATTAATTAATTCTACCCCTACCACCCAATAAACCACCCCTACGCATGACAATTGAATTAAATAACACTTAGCAATCCAATTAACACACTAAAACAGTTTACCACAAAGGAGAAGGTTTAGAACGTACATGGGGGGTTGGCGGCCAGGATTAAATCAATAGGCGGCCCGCGGGGAGGAGGAATAAATTAAATTAAATTAAATCCGGAATATTACAAATAGGAAGTTTATAGTAAACTTACCTTCGCGAAACCCTAGGAGAGCGTTTCGACCTTACCTACCCAATTAAAAAAAATTGGGACTTTTCTGCCGTTGACTGACTGTTGACCGTCGTTGACTGCCGTTGACCGGCGGTTGACCGGCGTTGACTGATTGACCTGCTCAGCAATCCAGGTCCAAGCAGTCCAGCCCAGTCCAGCTCCAGCTTCAGCAATCCAAATCCAGAAGCTCCAGTCCAGAAGTCCTTTAGCAATCCAATAGCACCAGTAGACCAATAGCTCACCAGCCCAGCAGCACTCTGGCCCAAATCCAGCGGTCCAAAAAACAAATAGGCCTAAAGTTAGCCTAAGCTCCAGCTTCCCTGTGCGAGAGAAGCACCTTCGTCCCTGTCTTCTCGATTTTGCGTTCAGGAGTCGAAGGCCTGCTCTAGTCCTTCAGCGAGCAGCGTAACTCATCACCAGTGGGTCGCAACTTCGATGGCGGACGTCCAAGGTGACGAACAGCGACGAATTCCGGCGATTCCAGACAGATGGAAAGCAACCTCCGGCGAGCAGCTCCTAGCGAGGGCGATTCCAGACGGATGGAAAGCAACCTCCGGTGAGCAACTCCTAGCGAGGGCGATTCCAGACAGATGGAAAGCAACCTCCGGCGAGCAACTCCCTGTGGTGGCGAGGTTCCAGGCGTCGACTGAACTCCCAACGATGGAGGCTTCAGCTTCGAGCTCGACGGCCGATTGGAACCAGATTCAGACGGAGAAGTAGAAGCGACGACACCAAGCGAGGCTTCAGCTGGTGTCCAGCGACCTCCAGGACCTCGAATCGACGGGCAGCGGCGGACGGCGGCAGACGGCGGTTCCAGGCTCTGATACCACTGTAAGGATCGTTTTCTTCCGTCTCCGACTCAGTTCTATCTACACACACTCTCACACACCACACTAGGAGGAAGCTATAACACACCAATATACCACTTTTCTCGCATTTAATAAAATAAGGAGTATATTATAAATAAGGTAGATTCTAGGGTACCAAAAGGTACCGTACATTTGTCCACATGGACCAATCAGAATGTTGCAATTGAATTATTTAAGTCTAAATTAAAATTGATATACCTATGAGGACCAATCAAGGGAATGATAGTTAGGGTACCCTTTGTTTGTTCCCATGAAAAAAGTGCATGTAAAAAACATAAAGAATGATCCAACAGCAATAAAGAGTGAGGGTGCGTGCGTGCGTAGAATCCATCAGGAGCCGGCGGGCGGCTTGCTTTTATTTACTTATGCTTTAAGTATGCAATGTTTCTTTTCCCAAAAGTTTCTCCACTAGCTCATGTCATCTCCTTCGATCAATATAATTTAGAAATCGGAATTATGCTTTGTCCGGCGAAGATGGAAAACAGAATCCCCAACTCCGTGCACCGGAAGCAGAGCAGCCGGCAGATGTCGATGTCCGATACGGAGTCACAGATGGAGACGACGTTCCACTCCCCTGAGCAATCGCCCTTCCGCGACCCGTTTTTGGAATCTCTTCCTCCTCCTCCCCCCCACTCCAAAGCCTCAATTACCGTGTCCGCAGTTGACAAGTTCTACTCCCCCCACCCATCCCCTGCCGCAAAGCCATCTTCTACAGGGAACGATTCCACCCTCCCATCCGGCGGATATCCACTTATTAGCACCGCGCCTTTAGCGCTTAGGCTTGCCCAAGCGCTCTTCTGCGTCATTTCCTTCTCCCTTATGGCGGCTGATCAAACTCAAGGTTGGACTGGTGACTCCTGGCACCGATACAAAGAGTACAGGTAGCTTCTTCATATACATTCTTTGCCCCATCAATATATCCATTCACTATATATCATTTTTTTAATTAAATTAAATCCTTCCCTTTATTACTAAGATTTGGACGAGAGAAGTATATTTGTGTGGTTGATATTAAATTGATAAAATAAGAATAAAGTTAGAATGATTTAGAGTCACACAATCTTTACCAAATATGGTATGAGACAATCTTAGTGGGACTTCCCAAAAAGGTAAAATAGGACAATCTTAGCGGGACGAACAGAGTATTATACATCAATTTTTTGTCATCTGTTTTACGAAAAGTTACGATTTAAAATTCAACATTCTGATGTATAAATAAATAAATTTGCAGTGTAGTTTTTTTGTTGCTACTTCAAAAAACATTTGAAAAAAAAACAGACATGTATAAAATAAAATAACAATGATATCATATTTTTAGCACTTGTATCTATTCAAGAAAAAAATTGGCTCTAAAAACTTCCAGGTGTTGAAACTTCATATTTTTGAAACTTATCTATGCAATGGTAGTGTCACATGAAAGACCAAAATAAGCCTTTATACGCAAACACATCACTTAAACCCATCCACTAAAAAAACATCACTTAAACACATCTACTAAAAAACATCACATAAACACATTAACTCTTAAAGAAGGATCACATTAACCAAATTACCGTAACTTGACCTTTTTCAACCGGTCAGTTGATCTTTTTTTTTTGTTTTTACTTTTAATTTCCCTCTTCTTTTTCTTTCTTTCTTCTTCTCATTTTCTCCCGCTCATGGCTTCTTCTTTGCCTTTCATTATTCTTTTCATATTTTTGTTTTGTTTCTCTCTCTCTCTCCCTCCCTCCCTCCCTCCTCTGCTTCGACCTTTCTTATTCTTTTTCATTTTTTTGTTATTCTTTGTTTAGTTTTTCTTTCTCCCTTTTTACCACATCTGAGACCACCGAGAGATGTCTACAACTACTACAAGCAGGAGCGGAGCCAGGGCACTGGACCGGTACAAAGAATATTTTCAGAAAAAAATTACACGAAATTTTTTACCTTAAAAATTAAGTCAATTTTAAAATTTGGGGTAGGCCATGGCCTAGGTTGGCCCACCCCTAATTCCGCCCATGACTACAAGTCCCAATCTAGCTCTAGTAAGCTGGGGTCTGGGGATGTCTTATACGTAGTACATAGTACAGTAAGAGACTCAGATACAAACTCACATTGATTTGCAAAAGCTAAGTCATAACTGACTTGCTGCCATCAATTCCAACATGTCTGTTACGGAGTATTAGTTTGTTACCACCCTCAATTACCACCCTCATACTCTCACATCTTTAATTTGGAAGATATCCCCAAGTTGCATTGCGCTTCGCTAGTTTCATCACCATATACATGTACACATTTCATCTTCCTTCTTTGCGGCATCAGGTTATCTTTTTTATTTTTCAGAAGAGATCGTTCAAGTGGTTACAATGGATCTTATTCGGCCGGTAGCGGAGTATAATTAATAGAAATTACTCCAAATAAGACTAAAACTATGACAAAAATTCAAAATAGGAGTTGCTATGTTTTTATTCCAAAATAGGACTATATTAGTCCTATTGGAAACATACATATTTTTTCATTCCAATCTTACCCTTTCTTTAAATATGAGTAAAAGATAGTCAAAAGTCATAGTTAAATATTTAATTCATAATAAACTCGAAAAAATTCAAAAAATAAAATTAACAAAATATTTATAAAATAAGAATTTTTTATTTTTAAATAAAAAATTAAAAAAAAAATTAATAAAAAATAGTAAAACTCCATTAAATATTTTTTTTTAAAATATAGATGCCTTTCCCACCGCCTGTACTGCCTCCCTGCACTACCATATCCGACCGATGTAAAAAATGCCATTTTTTTTTCTAAAAACTGCCATTTTTTCTGAAAATGCCAAAATTGGCATATTACTATTTGAGAATGCCAACATTTTCATTATTTCTGCCGGAAATATGGCATTCCTAATTGAAGTGGCATTTTCCACCCGGTGACCGGAGGTGGTGGTACTCCCTCCCTGCACCACCACCTCTATCCGGTGTAAAAAATGTCATTTATCTCTTCTGAAAATGCCAAAAAAATGGCATATTACTCTCTGAGAATGCCAAAATTTTCATTGATTTCTGCAATAAACATGGCATTCGTAATGAATTTGGCATTTTCCGCTATTGACTGGAGGTGGTGGTGCTGGGGCGGCAGAGGTGGCGGTGATTTTTATTTTATTTTTTGCGTTTTTTGTTCATTTTTTTTTAAAATATTAAATAATTATTATTTTAAAATTTTTATTGTTTTTTAGTATTTTTTTACGAATTTTTATTATTTTTTATTATTTTACTATGAATTAAAACATTTCAATAGCAACAAGAGTATATTTGTCCAACACACATACATAATTAGTCCTATCAAAACATAGTTTATTTTTTGGTGATATTTGTACAAACTAACAAGCTTTTAGTCCTATTTTGATAATTAACTCTATAATTAATAGTTTAACACTAGCGCACGAACACAAACATATATATGCATGGTTAATTTCTTAAATATGGATAGAACAATATTAAAAACAATGTGTTTTCTATTCTCATTGATCGTATCATTGGCTTATCAAATTATCTATCGAACAATGAAAAAGATTCAACAATAAACAAATCCACTAGGGTCAGAGGATGCGAGGAAGATAGATATTTAAAAAGGTAAAGAATAAAAGAACAAAATAAAAAAAATGTAAAAAAACTATGAAGGGTGAAGAAGGGTGGAAGCAGTTCGGCGCATGGGGGCAGGAACAACTGACAAAAAAGAAGAAAGAGAAAGAAAAAGATAAAATAAAAAAAACACAAATCTGCAAATGAGGGCGAAGAAGATTGAAGAGGGAGCCGGAGAAAATAAAAGGAAGAAAGAGAATGCAAAGGAGAAGGAAAAGTAAAGAAAAAAGAAACAAAAATCAATTGACATTCTTATGTGATATTTATTTTAGTAGATGGATTTAAGTGGTGTTTTTAGGATAGACAAGAGTTTACTTCGATCATTTTCTCTAGTATTTTTATAATCTCTGAAAGTTGTGGGCCTTAAACTAAAATGTAATTATATTATACTGGGTACTTCTTAAGTACCTTTGAAGTGGACTAAACGTGGATGTAATTATATTATCAAAAATGATCTTTGTACCCACTCTTATACTCACTTTTGTACTCACCTATGTTTGTGAAATGTTTCTTTTTGTCTGTGAACCCCGGCTCACAGACAATATTTTGCACAAACAAAATATTGTCTATGAACCGGGTTCACAGACAAAAAAAAACCTCCCCAAACATGGTTGGTATAATGTGGGTATAAAGGTGGGTACATCAATCATTTTTGTTATATTATTTACTCTCATGTACTTCAACCCAGTGTAACTATAGAGCCGCCCTGTCCCCAACAACGCACGCACACACACATATTTTCATAAGGAAGAAAGCTTTGGCTTTTACGTCACCTAATCACCTATATATCACTAATTTATATGAAGTCAATCAAAAAGTAAGTATAGACCTAACTTTGTCAATTAAAAACTTTCTGTTTATGAACTGACACGTAATAATTTTGTTTCCAAATAAAAATTACTAAGTCCAATTCAACTTTATAAAAAGAGGTCAGAGTCAGATTGGTATTCGAACTTGCATAAAAATGGTCAAATAAGTCCTTATATAGGAGGCTCTGTCTGGCCATCGCCATTTATGGCGGTTCCCAGTGAAATTTTTTGACGAAATTTTTTGAGCATCTTATTCATTAAGTCTAGTTTACTCATACTAAATTTCAGCTAAGAATTCAACCGGGAAGGCATTCAAATGACTTCTTGAAGATAACTGCGCAAGTAAAAGCGCAGTTATCTTCAAGAATTCATTTGAATGCCTTCCCGATTGAAGTTTTAGCTGAAATTTGGTATGAGTAAACTAGACTTAATGAATAAGATGTTAAAAAAAATTCATCAAAAAATTTCACCGGGAACCGCCTCAAATGGCAACGGCCGGACAAAAAGGACTTATTTGACCCTTTTTATGCAACTTCGAGTACCAATCTGACACTTGACTCATTTCAAATGTATATTGTCATTCTTGAAAGTTGAAACTAGCTTTGATCGCCATTATATGTATTATACACGATAGTATATAATTATACACTTGGTACGTACACAGGTATTGTTTGGCAGTAAATGTAATGGGATTTGTATATTCTGGATTTCAAGGGTTTAATATATCGTACCGCTTGGCCACAAACTCATCCACCTATTCTGCTCTGAGTTATCATCTTGATTTTGTGATGGACCAGGCAAGTAATTGTAGTTCTTTTACTTTTCGTTTTTCTTCCAAACTTTGGTCGAACATAAAAATTTGATATTCTCAAAGAAGCTGACAAATGCGCTCTTTGTTCGTCTTATTCTCATTCATTTTATTTATTCTTATTTTATTCAGGTCATATCATATGAGAAAAAAATCAGAAAAATTTGATCAGAAAGATCCAGTTTAGAACAATTTAGACATGATTTTATTATTATTACTATCATCATCATCATCAAAACTATTCTTATAATTAGTCATATTTATTCTTATAATAACTATTGATGGAGTTTAATTCCAACTACGAGAGCTAATATATAAGAATAGAGTACTTAGGCAGCATAAGGTAGTTAGGAGGCGGATCCCTTTTAGGGTAAGTACATGAAGTATTTATAAACGTATAGTAGGTCGTAGGGCTACAATAGCCTAAAGAGATATAATCGGTACATTTAATAGTCTAATCATGATAGGACTCTTCTAACGTATCCCATTATTACGCAATTACTATTCCTTTATGTCCACATTTCTTCCGCTAAATCTCTGCCGTTGCCAGATAGCTATACACAAAAGATATCCTGCCACATAAGCCATAGGGTGAGTCTGACCTCGCTAGAATCCCGCCTAGGCTCGACGTCTGCTAGTTAGTCAGGCCGACCTGACTGTGGGTTCCTTTCGCGGGTCGCGTTCTCTTGTCAGGCCCAGTGGCTCTTATTAGTTAACCCTGATTAATGGGTTTGATTTACTGATCCCGTATAATGGGTTTCGTATATAATCTGTACTTAGGCTATGGTCGCGGTCCATTGTATCATGACGGCCCCCCTACTCTCTAAAATAAGTTGGGCTTGATTTTAGAAGAGTAATGAGCTTCGAATTTGAAAATTTCCTTTTGGATTGTGCGCCATCTCACATTTAATGTGGTTATAACGTGACATGTGCCTGCAATTTCACGGTACCCGATTCCGTCCTACCAACTTCAGCACTTGAGTGCCTTGGTAGCGGTTCCCAAGCAGTTCGAAAGGCACCACAATTCCCGCAGTAAAAGGTACATTTCTCATTCGTGCAAACCTACTACTGATTTTCCTTTTGTAAGCCTGTGATTCCGGTTACGAACCCTAGATGAAGGGAGACCTCCGCGTCGCTTCTATCTTTCATTTTCAGGTCAGTCTCCATGTCTTCATCTAGTTTTGTGCCCCTTCACATTTTTTTCCCGATGACGAGGGGGTTAGTTCCAATCAGCCCCCGATCCTGGTGGATTCTCGCAGATCAAAACCCATTTCTATTTGTCCGCTGATTTTTCCCGCGGGGTTCCGGTCGCCGCTATCTCAGATTCTAAATTTAATGAAACGGCGGGCCTCGCCGGTCCAAGCGTCATATGTTCTCGCCCTACTCTCGGGCAGTGATAGACAATTTATAAGTCCTCGCAAGTGCACGAGTCGCAAGAGTACAGTGCTCAAGTAAGGGTCGAATCCACGGGGAAAATGCAACTAAGTAATTGGAAAACTATTAATAAAAATAAAAGTGAAATTAATCTAACTAGAAAAATGAGTTTTGAGTTTGTTTGATTTGAAACTGAAAAGGGAAGCTTGAATTAAAATGGATGCAAGGAATTTAAATGAATAAAAATAAAGTGATTGAAAAACTAACAGAAAAGTGATTGAGAACTTAGCAAGAGAAAAGATAGTCCAGGATTATGATTCAGTCACTAATTTTTAGTATTTGTGATTTAGTTAGTCAATTAGAATTGAGGGTTTGTTCTAGGCAAAAATATGACTATTCCGTATGGCGTCCAGAATAAGTCACGTACTTTAACTATTATTTAACAGGAAATTATTAATTCAATAGTTAAAATCCATTAATCACAAAAGAACTACGGAAACCCGATTTAAGAACCAAATAGATAACCTAACAAGACAGTTCAATTATCTATTCTTTTATCCAAAAGAGCTCGAACAAATAGGCATGGCATGTACTCTATTAATCCACTCAAACAACCTGATCAATCATGTTAAAATTGGCCAGAAGTTAACACAACAAATTAAGCGAATAAGAACAATGGATAAAACTCAACCAATTGACATAACAAAAATCACAATTCATACTAAATCATAGCAACTTCATCATAATCTAGGACTTAGAAAATTAGCTACTCGTACTGAAATAAAATACTAGTAAAAAGATAGGAAATAAAGAGTTCATCTTCACAATAAAGAAATCAACCGATTGTCTCAGTACTCAAATAATTAATTAAAGTAAAAAAAAATCAAGAACATGAAGGGATGCCGCTGATTCAAACCAGACTTCCAAGAGTAATAGAAATTTTGCACAAGCCAAGTCCAGAAAAATCGCACGGGGTTCCCTGGCTTCTGTTTTTCCTTCTGGCAGAAGAATTTTGTCCCTTGCTCCACACAGAGAGTGACTCCACAGCCCCGTTTTTTCTGTCCGGCTTCCGATCTGGCTCCAATCGCTGCTGTACTAGCTGGAGCCGCAAACCCTCCTGCTGCGTTTTTTATCCCTCCGTAAAACAATCCAGGTTTCCAGCTTTTTTAGCCCGCTGCACTCCTTTTCTTTCTTTCTTGGGCTCTTTTTTTTAGTTTGGGTTTGCTGCCCAGGAGACTTTTTAAACAAAAGTATTTGACTCATTTTCTTTCAATTTTCCAACAGCCCTTGGAAAAGGAAAAATCTCCACAAACCAGTCCAAAAGTCCTCAAATCCTTCAATTAAAGTTCTCACCTATAAAAATCATTTTTAACACAAAATAGAACTCCAACCTCTCAATCAGACAAATAATAAGCATGGAATTGTAATAAAGCAATATAAAAATGAAGCACAAATTCTAGCTCATCAAACTCCCCCACACTTGCATTTTGCTTGTCCTCAAGGAAAATTAAAATCAAGAAACTAATTTGGCAACAAGTGATCAAGATTCTCTTCCACTCACCAAGCATTCCAACAAACCCCTCCATGACAAGATATCCCCAAAAAATCTGAATCAAGTATCCAACACAATGTTCAACTCAAAAGGCAATTAATTACCAAGACTCACATGTCATTAATAGAGATGTATTTTACAATTCTAAATGATCTAGTGAGACACTCAAGCAACTTTCACAGAAATTATGCGAAGTCCCAAGTCATTCAGTCAACACTCAATAATCATCTAATGCTCTTCCTTCCACCTTATCAACGCACAAACTTGATCAAGATCACTTAGGACTTTTATTCGGGTTGTAACGTGGCTATGGGTAATGGTTTAATGAAAGAAAGGATGTGGGATTTCAAAACAAAAGAGGAAACCTTTTCTATACTAAACTGATCCTAGGAAGAGTTCAAAAATATGATAAAGGAGCAAAAAAAATTATTACAACAATCAACCGGCTTCTAAGACAACGGAATACATACATAAAGTGAAAAGAATACAAACTTCAACTGAACTCATCTTTTTTCTTCTTCTTCTTTTTCACTTTTGTTTTTGTATTTTTTCAGCTCTTTTTTTTTAATGCTACATCAACACTACTTCTAAAAGGATATATCAAACTGCCGCAACAATATTACATCTATATAAACTGCCGGGAAAAAAAATGCTCCAAGAAAAATGAAAACTCTTCCAAATCACAATTTAAGTAAAAAAAAATGTCAACTCAAGGATGATGGGATAATTTTTGGCTATTTGGGCTCGGGTAAATAATGATGGGTAATAACAAAGAAATTATTAGTCAAAAGCATGGTAGAATGCTTTAAGACCACTTAGGCTCAAAGGGGTAGCAAGTGGAAATAAAATGCAAAGGGTAGGCTAAAAGGTTTGGGACTATGGAAAATGGCCTAGATCACTTCTCGATCAATTTGCACAATAACTTAGCTTCCAAAAGAGCAACAAGACAAGTTCCACATGCTAGCTAAAAGACAAAGGACTCACACTCTTTCCAGGAACGTTCAAGATGCATCCTAAAAGATCATAAAGAATTGAAAAGTACATCAAAATTAATGACACAAGAAGCTAAGAAATTGACTCCAAGTAAAAACAATGTGAGGAACTCAATCAAACTCAAGAGAAAATCTATCATGGAGACCACCAATTATACCACATACCAATGAAAGGGAAATTTTTCACAGCTTGAAGCCAAAAAAGTAATCCTGAAATCAAATTTCCCTCAAATCCAAACAAGAAAACAGTTTTTTTTCTATTTTTTTTTTCAGTTTTTCTGATTTTTTTTTTGAAGTTTTTGAAACTAAAAAAAAAAAAAAAAAAACTAGAGCTACTCCTCCCCCACACCTATCTCACGCATTGTCCTCAATGAAGGAATGATAAAAAGAAAAGGGAAAAGAAATGCTCCCTGAATGCAACGTATACTTAGCTCTGAAAGCGAAATTGAAAGTGAATAGCAGCCTGCACAACTGAAAAAGAAAGAAAAGAAACAAAGGAGGTAGAGAGAGAGAAAAACAGAATTAAAGTAATATTTTTTTTTTTATTTTTTCAAAGCAATTTTTTTAATGAAATTGTGACTAGACACAACATGAGCAACAGTATTCCTGACGCTCAAGACACTCAACTTGCTCAAAAGAATCTTCACTGCTTGAATATCTCCTCACTCTCTCACCATTCACTTTAAAAATATTCCCGGATTTTGGATTTTCAAGTTCAATTGCACCATCGGGAAAAATTTGGCGAATCACATACGGACCAGTCCATTTAAACTTTATTTTTCCTGGAAAAAATCTTAAATGAGAGTCAAGCAATGACACTTTAATTCCAGGTTTAAAATCCTTCCTCAAAATGGACTTTTGATGCAAACAATTAATGCACTTCTTGCAAACTTTCGCTTTCTCAAAAGCATGATTCTCAAGATCATCTTCCTGCGACTTGTCTAGAGAGACACTCGGATTAAGAATATCAAGTGCAAAACATGAATTAGAATCAGCTGACACACTCATTGATTTCAAAATGGAAAACTCAACAGTTTCATCAAGCACACTCATAGTCAATTTTCCATTTTG